GGGCGTGCTGCCTTCATTGACATCGAAGCTGAAGGCACTCAGAGTAGAGTGCTCCAGAGAAGCTAAATATGCAGTGGCCGTTAGCCCAGCTGCCCTCCTATTTAGAAGCGGGGCTGTGTTTCTCAGACCCACAGCTCCCAGTGAGGAGCCATGCACATGGTGACAATAGCCCAGCTGGCTAAAGGAAAATGTAGGCAGAAAGAGAAGAGTTTATGCAGCCTTAGAGGACATCATGTCCAAACCATTCATTTCACAAAGGAAATGATTATTTTTCCTGGAACTCCACCGATCTTGAACCCTTTGAACTTACTTTACCAGCTCCCTGCAAACTAGGAACCCTACTGAACTTGGAAGGTGAGAGCTAAAAGGGATCCTAGAAGAATCTAAATCATCTTACAGATGAGGATCTGAGGCCCAACAAGGAAATGATCCGCCTGAAATCCTGCAGGTGGGCTGCAGCAGTACCCAGTCTGGAACCCAGGGCTCCTAACATGCGTCTCCAAGGAACACTTACAGGCAGGGAATGAAGCTTAAGTCTCATGGCCCCTCACTCACACAGGCCCCTTTCAAGGCCCTGTGTCTAATTTTGTATTCAAAATTTTGGTTCTTTTAATTAAAGAGAGCTCTCTAAATTATATAAGCTTCAAGATCCCGTAAAACCTGGATCTGCCCTGGGCCACACACCACTAGTGATTAAGACCTGAGAAAAGGAATCGCACATAGCCCCTTGACCTATAATCAGCGAGGTTAATTCAGTGCGGATCGTCAGGGTAATGGAAGGATGGCAAAACCACCGTGGTGGCTGATGAAGGTCATCCAGGGAGGAAAATCAAAGCTTACTGACACACACATTGACAACAGGCTCAGGGGACGTCCTTGTGACAGGCTGTCTTTACTACCAAGTCCCTGTCTGGAAGTACATGATGATTGTTATAACCGGATGAAATGACAGATATGACCCTGTGAAGATTTTCCAACAGTTAGAAGTGGGGAGGCACCCGGGTTGTCAAAAATCATCACCCACCATCAGTTATGCGAGGCTAAGTTTCAGACATCAAGATCAAATCTTAGAACTTTTTAAAAAATTAAGAGGCATGTCCTCAGCATCACCAGGCCATCCTCTGGGCTAGACAGAACTGCTTCCTTGAACCGCTCTAGAAATGAGGCTAAGGTCTTTCCTGGGGCCCACCAAGACCCTCACAGGACAAATGAGCCCTGGCAACGAGGGGGCTCTGAGGCTCCAGCTGAGACTCTGGTGCTGATTAACATTCCCACGGGGGGCTCGGTTCCCTGTGCCCACCCCATGAGGCTGCTACTTTCCTTCCCCTCCCTTCTTCCACTTGAGAGCATTCTTGTGTGTTTCTGAAGAAACAGCTGCTCCCTGCATATATTTTCATCAAATTACCAAAGACAGCGCTGTGCCCAGAGGCCACGACGGAACCCACATACCGCTCATTGCTTAGATTCTGAGAGCTCCAGGTGCTGGGCCCTAAAACCACCAGTTCTACTCAGCGCGCGCCCCCTCCCCTCTCTACCCCATCGCATTCACTCCTGCCAACGGCCCATGATTGGCGTTCCTGGGGAAAAGTTATTTTGACTTCCAATCCGAAATAAAGGGAGTCAGTCAACTTGCAGGCGCAGCCTAGCATTGCCGTTAAGAAGACAGGCCTTGACATCAGGCCACTGGTTTGAAGCCTGGGTCCACCATTTACTAGTGGTGGGATGTTCACCAGGTTACTTAACTTCTCTGGGCCTCCACCTGTGCGTTTATTACAAAGGGATAAGATCAGCACTTACCTGAGGAATTTGTTATGAAGGTTGAGTGAAGTAATTCTTATGAAACACTTTGCACAGCGCCTCGCACAAAGCGCCTGAGAAGGTAGTCACGATCGTGGTTGTAAACTTTGACCTCATTTAAAGTGGAAACTGAGCGCTCCTAGTACCCACGTTGTTACCTTTATAGGGTTTGAACATCAGTATCAGCGTGGGATTAGGTTGACTTTGATTCGGTCAAAATGGTACTGACTATCCCTCTTAGTTAGACAGAAACAAATGAGGAAGCTTGGGAGGGAACAAAGGCAAGCAACAGAGACCAAATCCATAGACTTCCCACATCAGAACAGACCTCAAACGTGATTAATCTCGATCGTCTACCCAATGCCCCAAATTTTTCGGCAACACTGCTAAGGGATAGGCTTCTTACCGTTTCCAAGGACTATGGCAAGTTGGGTCTTCCCGTTTTAGGTCAATGTGTGAAATCTGGCATCCTGAACTCTGGCCTGTTGGTCCTGGTTCTGTCCTCTGAAATAATACCATGTGATGACATTGTTGATGGTCCTTCAACCATCTCAAGCTTGTCTTCCCCAAACTAAACTTCTTCCCACTGTTTGTGGTCCATTCATCAACCTGGTTATTCATCTCTGAGCGTGATCCCCTGGGTTAAAGTCACTATTAAAATGTGGAGCCCAGAATTTGCAAAAAAAAAAAAAACTGTCTAGGTATTACAGGGTGAAGCTATCTGGACATAGGTTCCATTTTTATGTTATAAAGAAGGTAGGGGGAAATCATGTTGAGCATTACTGTCAGGTGAGAAGTGGAGAAACTGGCCATTAAAAATGTTTTGTTTCAGAAATTGAATTAAGGGTACAGGTTCTGTTCTCCATTTTATAACATAATCAGGAAGGTTCTTCTGCAAGTAGAGGCATTATTCTAATATTCCGATTCCTGGTTCCTGGGAGGCAGGGACCAGGAGAGGCACCTCTGGCCACGTTGGGGACAGCACTGTGGTCCCTAAGGTTAGGTCCCACATTTGCAAACAGTCCTTTTAAATATGACACATCTCAGGAAATAATAAGGAACATTAGAAACCGCTGTAAATCTGCCACTTCAACTTGCAGGTTAAGCTGGTAAATCACTTATGGTTAAGGACATTATGCTTTAATCATTGTGATCATTTAAATGGTGCGGGGGCTGATAGGATGAAAACAATTGACTTCCAGGTTACTGAGTCAGGAGCCCTGACTGGACCTGCTATCAGTAAAATAATGTAAGAGATGCCTGAAGATGATTCTGAGCCCTCTCAGCAGTTCCTTGAATTTGACCCTTAGAGGGTTAAAGTCCATTTTAACTAGATGTCCTTGTAGCCATTGTTACAGATCAAGTTCTGCAAATCTCCAAGTCCATGAAACTCAATCTTTTAAATTAGTATATCCTCGTCTAAGCTTTCTTCTGCTCCTATTACATAAAATCACCATCATAGAAACATTTCTACAAGGCAGATGGATGCAAAGGTTATTCCCATTTCGCAGATGGGAACACTGAGGCTCAAAAACCCAGCTTGCCCCTAGTGTATCCAAGGTTACTAGTGGGAGCTAGGATTAGGCCAGGATCTTTGTCCTTCCATCATGATGCTTTTGTCTCTGGAGGCTAAACCTGGAGGGTAGTTAAAGGTCATTATTAGAATGGAATGAACCCGAGACTCAAAGAATGGACTAATCAGCCTCCTTTGGGCAAGTCAATAGGAAACACTACAATTATTTCTAATAACTCATCCAGAACTGCCTGGTGAATATGACAGGTAAAGACCACCCACACCAGGCTGGTGACCAAAGGCTATGCTCCTGTGCTTGAATCATGGCAAAGAGTCCCTGTTGCACTTGAGTTTGAAGCCAGTCTTCTGGATCCACCCTCACAGCCTCTCTAACTTCATCTCCTGCCCTCCCCCAGTCCCTGCATCTTCCCACCTGCCCCTTTGCTCGCTCATGCTCCAGCACACAGGGCTCCTCGCTGTCCTGCCCGGCCCACTCTCACCCCAGGGTCTTTGCCTTGGCTGAAACATTCTTCCCCAGATGCCTGCATGGCCCCTTTACCTCCTCCTTCAAGTCTTATCCTCAATGAGGCCTCCTCTACCACTGTATTTGAAATTGCAACTTGCCCCTCCTTGCACTCCCAACCCACCTGACCTTGCTCTACAAATTTTATAGTTTTTCTATGTAACATACTATATTCTATCCTAACCATATAATCTATTTATCTGTCATCTGCTGTCTGTCTCCCCTGTTAGAATGTCAGGTGGTTGGAGTTAGAGATCTTTGCTTGGTTACTGATATATCTCAGCTGTCAGAACACCCAGACACAGAGAGAGCAGAATTTGACACATCGTAGGTGACCAGAAAGTTGTTACTGTTGTTGCTATTAACTGTACTGGGAATTGGAACAAACCTTCCAACCCAGAGTAGATCAGCTCAGGCAAACAGTAGAGGGGCAAGGGCAAAGCAGGGTTGTGGGTTGTGAGTATTTGGTCCCCATGCCCTGCGGTGATTCAGTAAAGCACAGTGCTTCAGCACTGCTGGATTCCACTTTTTTCCCATCAACCAAGTCTTCCTCCTCATTGGCTTAGATGGGGCATACGGCACATGTTTCACTGTAACTAGCAAACCTGATGTGGACATGTGATGTCCTCACCCCTTCTAAGATGGCACCAGCATCCTAGGAGGTATGCTTCTCTGGTCTTGGAGGGTCTGACTGTGGTCTTGTGTGCCTGTGCATTTGGGTTGATTCCCACCCCCATCCCATTCTGATTCACCTGCTCCTGTTGGAACCAACTGCTCAGTCCGAGAGGTCATAATGCCCAGTGTCAATTTCCTTCCAAAGAATGCCAAGTTCTCCACTAAGAAAGAAGCACCCTTTGTCCTGGAGACATCCGAAATCGGTTCAGATCTGTTTGCAGGAGTAGAAGCCAAAGGGTTAAGCATTAGGTAAGTACATGTTCCCAATGTTTGTATTTGTAAATGCCAAGAACAACAGCAAAAAAAGACCAGCCCAGGGACATTTTTATTCACCCAATGTTTCTAGGCATGCAACTCTCTAGCTCAAAGCCATATGTTTTGTTTCATTTCTAGGTTTAAAGTGGTTTTGAACAGCTGTTGGGCCACACCCTCGGCTGATTTCATGTATCCCTTGCAATGGCAGCTGATCAACAAGGGGTAGGTACGACCCTCTGGAGCTCAGGGCTGAGACACGGGGCCTGGTAGATCCAGGGTGACTCTGGCTCGGGACAGCTGGGAAGGAAGGACAGCTTGGGACAAACAGGAAGGAAGCCTGGGACAGCAGAGTCTGTTGGTGTCACATCAGTGACTTCCTCTGTGCTTCCAGGCTGAGTACCGATACTAGGAAACACTAACATAGTGCTTTCTAGGTACCAGGTACTGTTCTGAGAGCTTTATCACATATTAATTCATTTGTCTTACTGTAAGTAAGTATTATTACCATCACCCCCATTTTCCAGATGAGGAAACTGAGGCTTAGGAGGGGTTAAGTAATGTCGCATACTGTGTGTGTGTGTATGTGTGTGTGTGTGTGTGTGTGTTTATGGGAAAGTGGGCAGGCTGGGTTCAGATCCAATCAATCTGACATCAGAACCATGATGAGGGGTAAATTAGGTAATCCATGTTAA